ACATGATCCAGAAATCCGCGAATCACTGACAGGGGCAGGCCCAGGCCTTCTCAAGATAGCGTTTTAACAAGCAAATCACCACCAGACGCCGCATTTCCAAATTGATCAAAACACACATCAATATGAGGAGTTCCCCAACCACCTAGTAGAATTTGGAACTGACCAATATTAGATCCCCAAAGGCCCAATGTTCTGTCTACTTAAGAGCCAAGGACGAACATCTAAGGTGCAGGTTTGAGTTCTTCAGCCCAGTAGCAGATGTGCCAATGGCATCGTCAGCGCCACCTCCAGGGGCTTGGGCTTGGAAAGTTGGTGTTTGGGATTGGATGGGATTGGAGGTGTAGCTGTTGGGGTTCAGGGCGGGGAGTTTGGGGTCTGAGTAGGGGTGTCTTGGACAAGTTTGGGAGATATTGCCCCTGGCGGCGTACGCAGTCCAAGATGCTGAGCAGGAAAGAACATGAACAAGGGAGGCTGGGCAACATGATGGTGTCGGTAGGAACGCTTGTAGAGATCAATCTGTTGCTGAACATCATTATATGGATCAAAGACTTCTGAAACCTTCTAACACAAGCCGGACCAGCACTCTCTTGACCTACCTCTGCTTCAACTGACTTAAGGCCCATGCTCTTTCGGATTCCACTCACATCTGCACAGAAGCAAGCAGAAGAGCTCTTCGTTTGCATTGTTTTGATTTGATTCCAATTGCGAGCTATGATGTTGTGGGATTGTACCATCATCACCCCTTTGTAAAAGCCCCCCCCCCCGGCCCGCCCAATATAGCGGGTAATTATTCAGCAAGCAAACCACAATTTCGCAATTCACACTTTTTTGGAATCCTACATCTGAGGACTTTCCCTGGCCAGGGGAATTTCATCATTATCACTTCCTTTATAACAACGACGCTTACCTTAGGCTGTACAAACCATGGCCATTCTTGCCAAGGCTCCTCCTGTTGCCTAGTCGCCATACTCAACTCAAGCTGATCCCATTTTGAACTTCAACTCCAAACCTCCCCCAAACTTTTTCTGCAAATCATAAAAACTTTAGTGGCTGTCCACCTGGCCGAATGTAGGCCTCGCCTGGGTCACAAAGACGATGCCACGGAAATCGCCGCGGCCATCCTGGCAGTGCGTGAGTTCTTTTAGATTCCTTGGACACGTACTATTTGCGATTCAGGGCAAGGAAAATCATAACGGTTGATCTAAAGCATCAAGCAAGCGGTCCTGGCCATCGAATACAGTCTCCACAAGCCTCAGCTTGCCAGTTTGCTCGAATACTGCGGTGATTGATAAGTCCTGGAAGGCAGAGGGAAGCCTTGCGTCTTTCGTTGTTGTCCAGGCAGGGAACCTGCAACCTTGTTACTTTCTTAAGTAGGGGCTTCTCAAAGCTGGGGTACCGTGGGATCCTATGCATATTCATATATGAAATCACGAGGAAACCATTGAGGGACCATGGCAAGGATTATGCCGAGAGTGCGTATAGAAACTGCAAATTGAGAGCCAGCTGGTCCAATGGCGAAGTGTGCTGCCAGCACTGCAAATAAGGAGCACTTGACAAGTTGGGGCAAAGAGATGTTGTTGCCGAAGCTGTCTCTGTTTTTGTATGTATTATGTATGCATACACATGTCGTCTGTATTAAATCTCTCTCTCTATCCATGTATCTATCTTGCTCTTCTGCTATGGGCTATGCTAATTATCAATCTCAACCGCTCCCTCTCTCTCTCTCTCTCCTCTTCTTTTATAGGGTCCGCGGTCATGTGCTTTCTCGCTCTCTCTCTCTTTCTTTCTTTCGTTCAGGCTATGGAGGCCCGATTTCTCCCCCCTCCGGGCTTCGCTGCCCAGCCCGTGTTGGGCATACCAGGTTATACTACCCCTCATTGCCTGAGAATGGACTTTACGTTTTAGATGTCCTGTGGGGGCCTTACACAACTAGAAACACCTTGCGTATTGTCCATCCCCTTTTGGCTGTGGCTTGCAAGCTGTATCCTTGCAAGGTGAAAACTTTGTCCCTGCCGGCGTCTTGCAGAAGGTTACACCAAATAGTCACCACCTTATGAAATTTTGACCAGGCAGGGTCTAGGCATGTCCCCCACTGTGGTGAAAGAGGCTACTACAAGAAGAGGACTCTCTCTCTCTCACTCTCTCACTCTCTCCTTCTTCTTCTACAGGCCACGCCCACCCCCAAAAGAAGTAAGACAGGAGCTAAGCTCCCTGGCCCCGCATGTCTCAATGTTCAGGTCGGCACCGCAAGATAAGACATGTACAACTCCCAGACTCTCTCTGTCTCTCTCCCCCCCGTCCCTCTCCCTCCACAGGATGGTAAACCAAAGGCCCAAGAGGCTGCAGCAGTCTGGCAGCCTTGCCCGAAATCAGCGGAGTCCTTACCACAGCCGCAGGTGCTACAGGCAAACATCTTCAACAACGAGCGAGGTAGCAGTAGTCATGATCATGAAGAGCTGAGGAAGATGAGCGACAATTTAGACGCATAGAGGCAGCAACAACGCAAACCGCCAAGCATTCAGAGTGTAACCACCTTCTACCCTGCCCACAAGACATGGAACACTGGATGGCATCGGGCAGGGTCATGCCGGGACGAAGTATAATCCGAATTAAGGTGAGCCGCAGTCTAAACTCCTGGTATCCCTTATAGTAGTCCCCTATATGACCCACTAAGTAGTCCCCTATATAAGTATAACCCCATCTAAGGAGTTTACACTTTGGCTCAGGTTATCCTAGAGCTAGCAAGACTGTCTAGCCCAGATATGTGTTGCTTCATACCAAGCATGCCTCTAACTCTTTGCCTCCATCCACCCGGCCTACCCTGAAGTCGAAACATCCTGCGGCCTGCGTAGATCAACATGACGGCCCACGACTGAGTGGACCAATCAAACATATCCCCTCCTTTGCGGTCAGGGTCTGTGTCAGCTGACCATCTGCACGCAGTGTGTCCGCGGCCTCGCACTATGGTAATAGGCCGACTGAAATTATTTGATTCCTGTGCATGCGCTGCACCCTGAAATTATTTGATTCCTGTGCATGCCCTGCACCGTTATAACCCTATGCCACAGTCCATTTCATTAGGTCGAATGCCAAGCACGCCTCAACCATAAGAACATTTATGCCCGACGCCTCAGAAAACCTAGACTAGAGCCACAGGCCAGCTCCAAAAAAGAACCTGCAAGTCCTGTAGACTACACAGATCAATGCACGTAGTCTAGGCTTTCAGCCCTCCAATTCCCACACAACATGGTTGCCCAAAAAACAAATTTAACCAGCAAGAACAGAGACCGGTAACGTGGCCCTCAACCCAGCCACATCCCTCGCCCTGGACCCTCAACCCTGCTCACGCTCACCGCGCTACCTTCTGGGGACCGATCAGAAAAATTAATCACTTCCCCTAATATTAACCACCCCTCCCAATACTCAGCACGGGTTCCCCACAAGTTCAATTTGTGAAATCTTGCCCCCAAGACTATTTCAAGAAGGGCCAAGACTACAGTTAATTACGGCTCAGATGCCCTGATTGGGTTCCTGGCATGACTCTTAAGGATTAGGGATCTTCTGGATTTCCGAAATCCTGTTTTTGGATGGTTTTTATAAAGGAATTTATGTAAACAACTGAATGCTAATTCAATGGTTTAATGCGATTGTACAGCGCTCTTAATTAGATTCTAACTGACTGTGTTTAGAAGTTTAACGTGATTGTTTATAGAATTGAATTAGATATCAATTGATTTCAATTAGGTTTCAACTAGATTTCAACTAGATGTCATTGGTTAGTACTGAAATTTCAATTCGATTGTGAATAGGTTTTAGTTTGATTTCAGTAGCGGTTAGTTGATTTTGTCGCGGAGTTTAATTGGATTTGATGGTTTCTTATATGACTCCCCCTCCCCGATATAAACTACGTGCGTGTTGGAGTATCTACATGACAAGGGACCGTTTAACATTAGGGGGAAAAGGTTACCATATTTGGGGAATACTTCGGCTATTTCGGACACGTTGCTGAGGCAAATTCCTCCCAACATTTAACAGAAGACGGGGGCCCTCATGCAGGGACCCAGAATGTTGAGAGACCCTGGCTGGTGAGTTGACCCAAGTGATCATAATCTGGTTCATTAGTGGGATACCATAAAATCCAAAAAATGAAATTGAGTCAAAACCAATAAACTTTCAAAGAAATAACAACAAGTCAACTTTCTCCAAGGAATTAACATGTTCTCCCCACGCCTGCTGCATTTGGCGCCTTAGCTCTGGAAGCCGTTTTTTCAATTCCTGAAGGAAGCTGGGAGGCTGGGCTCAGGATCCAGGAGGGATGAGGATTCTGTGGGATGACAGCAAGCTGCTTAGGGCAAGAGACCTTTGGGATCATGGAGGGGATTCAGGATTCAGGGCTGAGGCTCAGGAATCTAAGCTAGGAATGAAGGTCTGAAGGGGTGTGCGTGAAGGTTCAGTGTGCGAGAGCCACTCAGTGTCTGGGAGGAGTTCTGTTCAGGAGTCTCTCTCAGCTATAGTTATCATCATTTTACTGCATGGTCCTCATGCAAGTTTGAGGTGACGTCTGTTTGGGCGACATTCTATTCCTGGTGTCGGGTGCTTGCCGTGTTCCAAAGAAATGAAAGCTGGCAGGCTCTTTACGCCTAGCCAGGGAAGAAGGCACTACACAAGGCTGTGACAAATTAAGCAACAGCAACCATGGAGACAGCATGGGGCTCCAAAGTCATCTGCCTCGGTTCTGCACTACGCTCCCTACAAACCTGTGTAGACTTGTGTCGACTGCTGTTGAACGCAAAGCCTCAACATAAGAGATAAAAATTACAAAGCCACCCATCGCTTGACTCTCTAACTTCCTTGAAACAGTTTTTCCAAACTCCTGTGTACTTCCACTTCGGATTCCTTTGGGGAAGTTTTTCTCTACTTAGTGCTGAAGAAAGCCAGGAACTACGTAGGAAGTTCCGGGTTACCCACCTCAACCAAACCACCCGAAGCCTCCTGGCGATAGCCAGATCCGTTGGTGGCGTCCAGCAGCTCCGCATGGGCCTCTGGGCATTGGGGTGCTGTGGGTCAAGCCTGAAACTTAATCATTGTCTTGCGGTCATAGACTTTCGATGGCACTACCAGAAACTACAGCTTTCGAATTTGCACTGCCTAGTCCTGTTGACAGGATACAAAAAGTTGCCAACAACGATGCAGCAAACAAAAACTCGCTCCCCAAACCAGCTGATCCTAAACCCCTCAATCCGAAACCTCACACACCCTTGACCCCATCTAATGCATCAAGCCGAGCTCTTATTGCATGGAGGGAACCTCCAGCTGGGGAACGATGCAATCCCGCAGGGCATAGCAGAAAGCAGTCATTCCCAGCTCCTGACATGGGCCAAAGGGTAAAGGGCTTAGGTAAAGGTATCTGCCACGAGGAAGCTTTTCAATAGACACCGCCAAAAAATGAGGATCCTTCTGGTACTGGCGTTCAAAAACTGATCCTGAAATTGAGAACTCGAAACGCACGAGGAATGAGGGGGTTGAGTAGTTTTAACGGCTCAAAACCGACACTGTAGAGGGTTTGAATTCTTTTGGGGTCAGCCCCTACGCACCACAACCCCCAAAAAACCAGAACCATTATTGTTGGAGTTACCCTGACACTCAAATTGCCGACGCCATGCAACCCCGAAGTCCTCCAGCACGTGGCGCGTCTGGTTGATCGTCCGCTTCAAGTCCTTCAGAAGGACATGGTTGCCAAAACTCTAAGGTTGGCGCGTGGGGTTTGCTGTGATTGCTGTTCAACTCAGTGAATACCATTCATGCAGAACAACATAAACATTTCCTGGGATATCCTTCCGAGGGTTCTGAAGGTAACTATAGGTGACCTCGGGATGGTCAGAGCAAAAACATCCAGGATGTCCTGGCTTAGGGTCTCAAGCAGCTAGAACCGGCACCAGAAGGAACATTAAGGCATGAACCTGGAATCTGGGCCAGACCTGGAAGCTGTTTGCTGGCTACTCACACAACCTCGGATAGGCCCTCGTCAAAAAGCAGTCGTTCCGGTTTTGAGGTTCGTTGCTCAAGACAAGCGAACTTTGACGGCCGCAGAGCAGGAATGGCCCGCCGCGCTTCAGACATTGCATAGGACTACGACCCTGGGTACATCTGACAAAATGCAATCGCTGCAGAATCGCTTCTCATCTAGCACTTGGTCCTTGACTGGCATCTTGTAAACTGCCTGGAAGTGTTCAAGCAACACCGTGAGCTTCGCTGTGGCGAGCTCGCCGGTGTTTGCCTGGGCCCAGATGCTTGAGGGTGAAGATTTTGAGGTCCCGAAGTAGAAGGAGTTTAGAAAGATGCTATGATGTTTGAGACAGCGCATGAGGACTCTGGAGGATTTGTCGAGCATACGATTGATCCTGAAGAACCTTCACCGAACTTAGCAATTTGTTTACATGGGGCATGTTCTGCAGATTTTGTCGGTTCCATGGGGAGTCTGACATGCTTCCTGAATTCCCTCGGACAGCTGCTCGCGGTACTGAGCTCAAATATGGAGCACCAGCACTTTGACTGGACTATCCCCGTAGTATCCCTGTAGTATCCCGATATAACTCCTATATTGTCCGGCATCTAAGTGGGCTTCTGCGGCATAGCTGCTCCTTTGTTTACATTTACGCGGAGGTTTCGGAAAATCACGGGTCCTTCTGTGTGTTCATAAACAAATGTATGGGTGACATTCCGCAGGTACCCAGAAGCTTCTACACTACAAACCCAAACTCCTCTTCTCGCAACACCAAAGAAGCACATGAAACAAACCCAGCTGCTGGAATGTCATCCTCCCAGCTAACGTTCTGAAACCTCAGGAGCATTGGATTTGAAGCAGCACTTCATAATTTTACCGCAGCAAGATGCTTCAGATGGTCTAGAACCTCACGTGCAAATCCCCAATAGTTTGCCCTGGACCCTTGGTATGTCATTTTGATTTTTTGAGGGGTTGTCATGCAGAAAGCTGATGCATGGCCCCCATTTTTTGCATCTAGCACCGGAACTCCTGACTGAGACAAAGTAGCCTGGCTGGACAGGAGTAGTGGTCACCATTGAGGTCCAAGCTGGGTTGAGTTTGGGGTACAGGGTAACCCTTCTGAGTTTCAGGATTTAAGGCTCCTGGGTAACTACCCATTGATTCCCCTGCAGTTTCTCTTGGACTTGCGATGGCTTATTCATGAAACACTTACTACCCAAATGGCAAGCGGAACAACAAAAAAAACGGATCCTAACCCCTCAACGGCTTTTGGCATGTACCATGGTTACCTGCCATTTTGAGGGCCCCACCTACTGCCCCAAAGAAGAGATGATCCTTTACCAAGCATCATCCCTAGGAACTGAAAACTAGGTTCTATAGGATGGGGGCAATGGAAAAGAAAATGGAAAATACTGTAGTATAATAGGGTATATACATATATAGTAATGACAACTGAGCTGCAGATGCATAGAATAAAAGCTTTGTAGGTTCCTTCATGGGCAATGATTCTAGCTACCTTTGTGCTCCAGGTGGTTGTAAGAAATTCTAGGATATTACTTGGCTATTTGCGTGAGGTCAGATGCAAGGGCAGTCTCCCAAGCCAGAATTTCAGGAGGCAGCCACACCCAGAGCCCCACCAGACATAGAATCCCTAACCCTGACTCCAGCACCTTACATGCACCCAAACAACTCAAACCCACCCCGAAACACTTTCCTAACCCGATCTAGGAGCTTATTGTATTTGCTTGTAGATCCGGCCGACCCACCGGCGGCAAACTCTTCTGGCACGTCGGGGCAGAAAAGGGCGGCTTGTAGAAGCGCCTCCAGCAGGGTTCACAGTTTCTACTGGCATGGACTCTGCAGGGGCCTAAGTGCTCTAGATTCACAGGTTTACGGGCTTAGCGTTGATGTTGTGGTAAACCTGGACCCTGATCCCTAACTATTGGCCACACCGGAGCGCATACCCTTCTCACAGGGGCAGTCTCAGGTGGGGGGCTACCAGTTGGGTACCCCCATATCACGAATTCCATCACTACAGGCGCATTCTGGAGTTTGGGTTCAGGGTTGGCTAGAAGAATCAGAATTTGCAGCTCCTTCCATATCCTTGAGCCATCATACACCTGAAGCCTCATCACTCAAGAATGGCTGCAGGACTGTAAGCGCCTGTAACTATAATTCCTTTCGCCTGCGGTTAGGGTTCAGGGTGTGAGGGCCTACGCCTAGTGAGTTCCGAGGTGAATGATTTTTTCACAGGCATGCCATCAATCTTACACCATTGACCTCAAACTCTCGAATCAGTACATCGAAATCAATGGATGTAAGAGCCAGCGTATTCCCAGAGCAGGCCTCCAAATCTTTCCGCTTCTGCTCAACGTTCTTCCTGGATTTTGGGGGGACTTGCTTGCTGATGCGTACGGAGGGGATACAGGCAGTATCATTGGGATTCATATAATACACCTGTACATATGCATATATATATATATAGAATTATAT